TGGTAAAAGTTACAACGACGCGCCACGAATATAGCACACTAGGGGATAGTGTTATACAATCGGCTCTATCCTCCCTAGCAGAAGGGCATCATGGGCTATTACTCGCTAATCATGCTACCTAGCTATCACCGGCAATCAGACACGTTGGTTTGCGCGGCGCCTTTTGAATATCATATTAATGCGCAAAAGATTACTTTAGGCAAATTTGCCTACAAAACACTGAAAAACGTGGTTTGGACTCTTAAGAAAAATTGTCCATGAGGTAGAATCAACGAGAATCATATCCACGTCCACCCAATCCAAGAATGTGAGATTCTCACCTGTTCAATCTTTCTTTGTAAAAGTTTGGGATATCCAAGGAAGGGCTCGGTTGGAAGAACTGGAAGGTCTCACCTACAATAGGGAACCCCATAGAGCCAGGAGGAAGCTTGCCGTTGCACGGAGGGTGCATCCACTTGTACACCCAGTGCAGCAGCCATCCTACCACAAGTGTGCTAATACAACCTAGAATAGCATATGGAACCTGCAGTGCTTCCATGCCTGTCCCTAGCTTGTTCATTTGATAGTATTGGTGTCTGGCATATGCCTGTATATATAGAGAGCCCTAGCTAGCTGTGAGGGTAAGTGTTAGGAAGAAGGGACAAAAGGAGAGAGAGAGACATAGAGAAAAGAATGATCTTTATTGCCGGCTCAAGTACATGCTGTATATATGCTGGCATAGGAGGAGTAAGATTCTGCCGGTGTCTTCTTCTGCGAATTGCGATGGCTCAGATTGATCATTTCTGTTGGTGAGTGGTAATACTTTTGTTTATATAGAATAATAAGAGAAAATTCTCATATGGAATTGAATGACGTTAATGCTGAGTGGACTTTGACCTTGTATATATAAACGTCAATGGAATGGGACATCAAGTGGCATACAAATGACCATGAGGCAACAAAAATTGCATGCTGAGATATGATCTGAGTGCGATTCCGCTGCTGTCTCCTTGCATTAGTAGCTCGTTTTTCTCAGATTGATGTCTGATTCCTTCCATATCAATTTTAGATATTTACGCCTTTTGATTGTTTTTTATACATATTTGCAAAGTCAGAACCCTCTTTTCCAGCGTATTTTTTTAGGGAAATGGAGGGGCCAAAAGCCCCTGCATGAAAGAATTTATTAAACCAAACAAGAACAATAGTACACAAAGTTATAGGAGGAGGAAGGGGGGGGGGGAGGAGAGAGGGCTAACTTAAGAAACAAAGAAAGAGAAAAAGGAAATCAGAAACAAACTGCTAATTACACTAGATTTTGTTTCCATTGTTCAAAAGGAATAGAAAGCCTTGAATTGATTCTATGCATCAAAAACATAATCTCTTTGACAAAGAACCTCTTGAAGTCTCCAGTCTTGGTCGAATTACTTTAAAAATCAAGTCATTTCTTGCTGCCCAAATCGTCAGCTCATTAAGATCACAATTATCATGAAGAACTGGGATTGTAACCTGCTTCTGAAATGCTCAACAATCTCAAGGAAGTTCCTGTGAAGGGGAGTATCCAGGTTGATAATACTCCAACATTCTTTAGCAAAACTACACTGAAGAAAAAGATGTTATGAAGTTTTTTCTACAGCTTCATTGCATAGAACACAATTATAAGAATGCAAATGCATGTTCTTTTTTCTTAGAATATTCCTCGTGCTCAATCTGTCCTTGATCAGTAACCATAAAAAAAACTTTGTGCTTGGATTGACAAGGACACTCCCACAGCCATTTGTAACTGTAAACCTCATGAATTTTTGTATGACTAAACAAGGCCCTGTAAGCTCTTTTAGACTGAAAGTTAACTCCCCAATTATATGTTCAAAGACTGAAAGTTCACTCCCCAATTTTTAGCCACAACTGCCAAGTCTGGGCTCCTCGGTCGCCTTCGCAGACCCGATGAAACCCGCCACGTCCCTGGTCGCCACCCCCCCCGCCACCCCCTCGCCATCTCAGCCCCTCCCTGCAACTCCCGAGTCAGACCCAACCTCTGCCACAGGATGCGCCGCTGGGACGCCGCCGCCATCGCTCGAATCCCGGCCGGTCGCCGCGGACGCTGGCGAGGGCGTGCCCGACGCGCTGCAGCCGCCTTCTCCCTCGTTCGAAAGCGCGTGCGGGCCCCATGCTGGTGAGTTCGCCGCCGGTGAAGGCGCAGAGCTGAAGATGCCGCCGCCACACGCGCTGGGGGCCAGATCCCGCGAGATCGGACCCTGGACGGACGGATCCGCCGCCTCCAGCTATTGGGAGCCGCCAAGACGACCTCCTCCGGGCTCCGGCGTCGGGGATTGGCATCTCCTCCACCCTTCCGACCGCGGCTCGGCAGGCTCGGCTTCGTCTTTCGCTGCCGGAGGTCGACGCACGGCCGCCGCCTCCCGCGTCTTTCGCTGCCGACGGCCCCCCGCCCTCTATGTCGCCGGTCACCCCTAGCTCGCCTCCCCTCTCACCGGACGCGGCTCCGTTCTTCCCATATGCGGGAGGACGCTCGAAGCAGCGCCGATGGGCGGACGACGACGGTGACGAGTCCGACGATGACCATCCCACCTCCTACCTGGACGTCGTTCGTCGTTCGGCGAAGCCAGTCCCTACGTCCCCGCCGCATGCCCAGGTTCATGCCAAAGCGGAGGCTGGCCGACATCGGCCTAGCGAAGGCGGAGGAAGCGCAGCCGGCTGCGTGCATAGCTGGTGCACGGTCTGCCCGCTCGCCCAGTGGATGGCCGCATCCCTGTCCGCCAACGCCTCGGCCACCGTGGACGGGTTTCCGCCCCCAATGCCGATGGGTGGCGGGAGATCCTCCACCGGCAGGAGACGCGACCGGCGGCCACCTCAGCTAAGCCGCGACGCGGCACAAAGCAGCTTCTGTAGGCCAGGAGGATCCTCGCAGAGTTTCACGGCAGATGCTTCAACTGTCTGTCCTACTCGCACCGAGTAGCGACTTGCTAGTTGCCACGGCGTTGCTTGCGCTGCCACGGTCTCCACCACCTCGCCAAGGATTGCAAGCGGCCAAGGCATGCTGCAATGCTACCGGCGAAGGGTAGCGACCGGCCACGATTCTCCGCTCGTGGTGGCAGCCCACTGGCCACCCAGCACGTGCCCCGCGACGATGTGGCCGTGCAGGGTGCCACAGGGGGCGCCAGTGGAACCCGAAGGCGAAGGTGGCAACGCCGGACTAAGCCAGCAAGGGACGTCAGCTTGAGGGCGCCGGTCGACCACGACGACAATCCCGCTATTACTGACGCAGCTTCATGCTACTTCGCCAACACAGATCCGCTAGCGTTGGACATGTGCGCGGGCATGGAGCCCCCCACGTGGGTCGACCCAATGCTGGAGGAGCTCGTTGCCTCGCCTGCTCCGATGCCCGCTTCTCTGGAAGTGGACGCATCGCTGGCGGACACTCGTTCTTCGGTGATGACTGCCCTTTGGACAACGGACTCGCCTCCATTGTCCCCTTCACAGCCTAGCGGGGGACAGCCTGACGTCGTGGATGTCGAGGCGCGCTGTGACCCAGCGCTTGTCGGGGCAGCCACCCCAGGGGCGACGGTCAGGTCTGCCATGGTGGCTATCAACAGCACTCCATCCCCTCAGACGATCTTTGCTGACAGACGCCTCAACCGCTTCACCAAGCGAGTCACAAAGTCGAGGCAGCCGCCACTCCTGGAGCTGCCCGATTCTTCGGCCCACGGCGTGCGTACACCGCCCGCGATCCCTAAGAGGAGCAAGCGGATAGCGATGTAGAGCATATCACATATCCCGGCGTCCAAACGAGGTGAGCACTTTGTCTTAAAGCGTCTGGGACTAACCAGCGGGATGTCGTCTCCGTCAACGTCAGCCCTGAAGGCATACGACGAAATCTACGGCGGTGACCCTGGAAACATGCAGGTGCTTCGTGAGTTGTTCCCACCGGACGGTGATGTGGGTCCGCGCAAGCAACGCCACTGCCGCTCGACAGTCCAAGCATAGGCTTCCTCGCGGGTGCCACGTTTCGGTTGATCGGTGTCTAATGTAACAACATAACTTTCAGTACACTAGGGAGAGTCTGAGCGTTCATGTACTTCTCTTTTGACCCCTGGGACGCCGTTAAGGTGTGTTGTATTAAACTCTTCTCTATCTTACTTAATACAAAGACGCGTAAACCTTGTGCCAGAAAAAAAAAAAGATTTGATCATGTCGTAGTTTGCTGTATGCGCAAGACCAATTCTTCTGCCATCAACCCGAGCTTATTCTTGCTAATTCAGTAGTCCACGAGGACCAATAATTCTCTAGTTGGGACGCTTCTTCTATTGCGGCATTGCGCAGCTTTTGTTTCACTACCAGAAACCAGAATTTCGCAAACATTGCTACAGGGCCCCGCACGAGCTAATCTTGGCCACACTCCAAGCCATAGCTTTTCTTTAGCTGGGCCAAAATAATTCGAGCTACGGGGTCCAAATTTAGTCCTTGCCTAGGCCCCAGAAGCCCATTAGTTATTGATCTTTTTTTTTTTTTTGCGAACAAGTTATGGATCTTTTTCACTGGGCCGGCCTCGATATCAGCTAAGCACAGAGGGCTCTTTCACCTGGGCCGGTCTTCCAAGCAAGCATCCGGGTAGGCCGCAATAAATAGCAACACTACACAAAGATCCAAATGTTACGGTAGAGATGGTAAATGCTGCACTGAGAAATGCTCTGCGCGGCGCATGATGATGTCCTACGTCGGAAGCCGGAACGAACCGCCCACTAGCCTACTCCTAGTGCCAACCTACGGTTCTACCGGCTCATCTCCCAGCAGCGCCGCTACGAATTCCTATGCACATTGCACAGGCACAGCTCTGGGAACGCGCCCCTTCGCCTTCCCTCCCAGTGGTGGCGGCACTCGTCGCGTCTCGCTATATATATAAATCATGCCGGCTAAAACCTCTCACACATCGCTCAAGAACCCAGCAGCCACACTCCACCACCACCAGTCCACCACACCGTAACCCACCATTGTTTGCACTTCGCAACATGTCCAAGAAGCTTCAAATGGGGGGGCCTAAGCAGGCTAAGGGTGCGGCCGACGACGGCAAGAGTGACGTCGCTGGCGCAGCGGGCAGCGCGGTGACGGAGAGCGCCATCGCGGTCTCCTACGACGACCAGATCCGCCCGCTCCTCGACGCGGTGGACCGGCTGCGCCACCTCAAGGTGACGCAGGAGGGCATCCAGCTGCCCACCATCGTCGTCGTCGGGGACCAGTCCAGCGGCAAGTCCAGCGTGCTCGAGTCCCTGGCCGGCATCAGCCTGCCGCGCGGCCAGGGGATCTGCACGCTCGTTCCCCTCGTCATGCGCCTGCAGGACGACCCCTCCGCGGACTCGCCCAAGCTCCAGCTCGAGTACAGCAACGGCCGCGTGGTGACCACCACCGAGGCCAACGTCGCGGAGGCCATCAACGCCGCCACCGCGGAGATCGCCGGGAGCGGCAAGGGTATCTCCGATGCGCCCATCACGCTCGTCGTGCGCAAGCGCGGCGTGCCCGACCTCACGCTCGTCGACCTCCCCGGCATCACGCGCGTGCCCGTGCAGGGGCAGCCCGAGGACATCTACGACCAGGTGGCCAAGATCATCAAGGAGTACATCGCCCCGAAGGAGAGCATCATCCTCAACGTGCTCTCGGCCACGGTGGACTTCCCCACGTGCGAGTCCATCCGTATGTCGCAGCAGGTGGACCGCACCGGGGAGCGCACGCTCGCCGTGGTCACCAAGGTCGACAAGGCCCCCGAGGGCCTGCTTGAGAAGGTCACCATGGACGACGTGCACATCGGCCTCGGCTACGTCTGCGTCCGCAACCGCATCGGGGACGAGACGTATGACCAGGCGCGCGTTGAGGAGGAGAGGCTGTTCAAGTACCACCCTCTGCTGTCGAAGATCGGCAAGTCCATGGTCGGCATCCCCGTCCTCGCCCAGAGGCTTATGCAGATACAGGCCACCATCATCGCCAAGTGCCTCCCTGACATCGTGAAGCAGATCAACGACCGCCTCAGCCGCAGCAGCGCGGAGCTCGACCAGATGCCACAGGATCTGAACAACGTCGCCGATGCGGTCAGGGTGTTCTTCCACATCGTCAAGCAGGTCTGCAACTCACTCGAGAAGGTGCTGGTCAGGGGCGACTTCGCTGAGTACCCTGACCAGCGCGAGTTCCATGGCACGGCGCGCATCGCCGAGATGCTGAGTGGATATGCAAAGAGTCTGCCCGCTCAGTGCCCGACGAACACCAAGGAGCCGTTTCTGATGGAGGAGGTGCGCATCCTCGAGGAAACGAAGGGCATCAATCTCCCCAACTTCCTGCCGAGATCAGCGTTTCTGGTCCTGCTCAAGAAGAAGGTGGAGACCATTGATCAGGTGCCTCAAGACCTTGTCAACGGCGTGTGGGAGTACGTGGAGGAGCTGGTGATGAAGGTTCTCCTGAAGCACTCCGACAACTTCCCGCAGATGCAGTCGCCCTGCCGCCGCGCCGTGCAGACCCTGATGGACAAGGCGCGGCTGCGCTCGGAGCAGCACGTCAAGGAGCTGATCGCGATGGAGCTGGTGGCGGATTACACCGCCAACCCCGACTACATGAAGACATGGGCCGAGATCATGGAGGGCTACGAGAAGTTCATGGAGGCGGTGGAGGACAAGTCGAAGCCGACGAGGATCACCCTGGAAGGCTTTGGCGAGGTGGACGTGTCGCATCTCAGGGTGTACGCTGACTTGGCAGGGAAGGCGTTCGACCTGAGGGCGCGCCTGACCGCGTACTGGAAGAGCATAGTGCTGAGGCTCGTTGATGGCCTGGCACTGCACGTCCTTCTCAGCGTCAAGCTGCTGGTGGAGAAGGACCTCGAGGAGGAGCTCGGCAACGAGCTGCTGAGCAACAAGTTCGCCGGGGTGGAGAAGATGCTCGCGCCGTCGCCGAGCACCGGAACGAAGCGTGAGCGCCTCAAGAAGAGCATCGTCCTGCTTCGTCAGTCCAAGGAGGTCGTTGCCAATATAATGGACAGGATTAGCGCGGCGGGTGAAATCTAAGCAGGCCGTGGTGTGCTTTTGTGCGTGTTAACATCTTTTGGGTTGTGTTTCGTTATGAACTTAAGTGAAGGGTCTTGTTAAAGACCTTCCCTGTGCTGTTCTTTTTTATGAATTTTACTATCGCTAGTTCAGTTTTATTTTGTCAGTGTTCATGGTGGCTACCTTTGGTAAGTGTGACTTATTGGCACCTTGGCGACCTAGAAACACTTGCCGATATGGTTCGTTATGCATTTGCTGTGTCAGAGTGTCTAGTACAGTACTTCATCAGCGTCAAAACTAGCTTCCAGTTCGGTACGAGCGTGCACTGTGTTCTGGTATTTGTTTGGTTATTTTTTCTTTGCGCGATCAGTATACTCCAGCACAAGTTCACGTGACGTAAAATGCCATTTTCTTTGGTTTGCACTCCTATATCACTACTAAATAGAACCAGAGCAGAAATGAGTGACGTTTTTCCATGGGCCGTGAAGGACGTGAGGCGCGCTGGGCCGTGGGCCGAGCAAGAACGTCCATTGCAAAATCTAAGCAGTCCCTTATCTTGCAAGTTGCAACCTCTCCTGACTTCCTGAGCCTCTCTGGGTCACCTTCACTAAAACCTCTCGTTCTAAAGCTCTAATTGTATAAAAAAAACTGAGTTCAGTAACAGATTTAGGGCGCATTAGAAATGCAAAATTTCACATAAATTGTACATATTTTTTTGACAAGGGATAACTCTGCTTTTATTGAAAGCATATAAATTATACATAATTTTTTACAAGAATCAATTCATTTCACCGGAAAAAATGCAGAAAACAGAAAAGAAGTCCCGTATTTCAAAGTGGCCTTATCCTCTTCGATCGGCCACCATGGCAACCTACGACTCATGCATTTCTTGCAACTAAGTTCACTTCAGGAATGCACAGTTGTGAGCGCTAATCCCCCCATGCAAATAAGTTCACTTCAGGATTGCACGGTAGTGAGTGCTAATCTACATGGAGAACTGTACAATAGGCAGCACCACCTAATAACAACAGTGGTATCCATGTCAATGGGGGTGACAAGACTACTGGTACAATTCCATAAGCTGACATTAGCTTTGAACAGAGCTGCAAGAAACACAAATCAACATCATTATCAACACTAATACATGAAAAACTGCCTTGTCAGAAAGATTGAGGGGCAGAAAGATGTACCTTCAAATGTATTGCTGCAGTGATCAAGCATGTAAGTAGAAGAGCCCTCCTTGTCCAGCTACCACAAAACTGGATCATCATGGACGCCATCTTGTCAGTGAATTTCATTAGTAAAGCCCTTGGAGCAACTGGCAGCAAGCTTGATGACTCGGCATGCATATTTGCTGAGTCAGCAGATATACTATTCTTCTTCTGTGCCGCAAAAATACAATAGCCTTTTCTGCAAACAGACCATATATAAGGACTATTACAGGGACAACCACCAGATATAGGAATGGTAGTGTGATGACAAGCACATCTGGGTTGCTCACTTTGTTGCCCATCAAGCCCCCATCATGAACTGGCACGCTCCATCCAGATAAGTACATTTGAGCAATTTCTCCATTTTCAGATGTTGCATGACCCCAAAACCATGGCATTTCAATTAGCCAGAGCACATATATTACCATAGAAAACCAGAAAGGTTTACTCCTTGTGCCCTCCATTAAAAACCAAACCAACCAAAAGTAAGCTTTTCTCTGCTGGATAGGGGATGACAGAATTGACACAGCCCACCTTTGATATGATGAACTTCTCCTAACAAAATGATACAATAGTTTGGGGATGAACAACAATGCAATGGTGAAGGCCAAATTACTCCACAGAAGAACTTGATACATGTCTTCCCACTGGACTTCAAAGAGCAGATAGTTGGTCCATGGGCTTGTGGGAATTGCTATCTTACCCTCAACAGAAAATGGTCTCTGCTCACTTGAAATTTTTACACCATGAGAATCAAGAACAAACACCTGCAACCAGTAGCGAGTAGCAGATGAGCTTCTGTAATTTTCCGCATTCCATCTGGCATGGAACAAAGGTCTGTGAGCAGAAGTACTGGCAACAAGCTGCAGAGGTATCTCCTCAACAATCTTAAACTCACTATGAGAGTCAAAGACTCTAGCACTCACATTACGGATAACTTGATGAGAGAAAATAAGGACATTTATATCATTTCTCATCGACCACTTTTCTGAGTCCAACATATTCATACTTCTTGAATCTGTTGGATATGTGATCAAGATGGAAGTTTGGAGTGCCTGTTTCAATGTGTGATCTATGAATGAGACTGCACCACCATCTATTGCTAAAATCCTGATCAATCTGGAGTCCTTCCAGTCTCCAAGTTCCCATTCCCAAAAGCTTGACTTGTGATCTTCTGTTGTTCTGATTTCATGATACCTCCAAAGCTGCTTACTAACTTTTGCATGGAGATGACCACATAGGTATGCTGAAATAGACTGCCTTGCAAACACACTTTCGTATCGCTGTCCTTTTTCAGACGATGCAGTGAATGACATAGGGAAATGTCCAAAAACAACTTTGGTAACTGGAACATTGGAATGATTGGTCCAGTATTGAAGCTCTGAATTTACTGCTTCTATCCTTTTATCAGTTGAATGACCAAAAAGATTTGCAGGAAAACGAATGCCAACACTCATTGTATCATCAATACCCAGAAATTGGTAGCTTCTATCTCCCTACAGTGCCTTTTAGGACAGAATTTAGTTTCAGAACTGTAGTGGTTATTAATGTAGATGAATAGTCATGACGATACATATGCACAACTCCCAAAGTATGTTTCATAACTTGCATGGACATTTAGTATACAAAAGAACGATACTAAAAATAAGACATTGATTTACTAGTTACTGGATTAGTAGTCAATAATGTTTCATAAAAAAAAAGTAGTCAATAATGTTCAACATTTATGCTTTGCCAGTAAATATGTTAGTTTACACCTTGAGAAAGAAACGGATAATAATTTAGCTGAAATTTGACTACCATTGGATTTGAGTACAGAATGGTGCCTAGAAAGACCTTGAATAAACTCAATGATGATAAACACTGAGAGCTGACACAGGTATTAGTCGTACCTGAAGCAATATACTACTGATGGTGTTTAATCGCTTAAACTGTGAGTTAACGCTGTAAGTTGAAAAGAAGTCCAATTTTCCTCCTCTATAGGGCACTCCATATGTGTCATGATTGCCTCTAATATCAAATATCCTGCTCTTATCAATGCCACCTTGTCCAACAATTGCATCAATAGCTTTCTTATAGGTAACCCATTCGTATTCGTCCTGCCTTGAACTGGTTCTTTGCTGATTCTTAGCGTCTTATTAAGACAATGTGAAGTTAGAATATATATAACAACAAGTCATAAAACCACAAGGAAAGCAATACTGGTCAATCGTATTAATCATGTGTGCGCTTATCCTACTGCCTTATTATTCTTGCAAGGCCTTTCTATCTACCATACTTCCTTATATTGTAGGTTTTCTTCTGTTCTGTTAGTGGATATCCTGTTGGACAGTAATGGTTTGCATGCCAAATATGAACAGAATGATACATGGCCGTTAGCACTTAGCAGGAAACAAATTGGAGTGAGCTATCTTAAAAGGGCAATGCTATGGTACAACTGTTACCTTCTAAGAAGTAATAGTTCAAAACAATCTGAACCATTGGTTTATTAGATTTTATGAATTAATTAATTAAATAAATAAGCTAAGAAAATACGAAAAATCTTGTGAAATCCCGTAATCCCCGGTATAACAAAAGAAGCTGGGACCCTTCCCTCCGTGATTACTTGGAGGAGATCTACGAGTGACCTGGCCTCCTTTTTCTTCCGTACGCCAGTCGTTTGTGCACCACGTGCAGCGATGCAAGGCACACGAAGCGGTCGAGAGGTCTGGCCTCCTTTTTTTTGCTGTTTTGTATGCACATCGATCATCCTGCTGATGTAATTATAATAACGTACATATTTTTATCTAAAAGTGGTCACGTCCTCCTATACAATGTAATTATAACATTCATATTTTTGTCTGAAAGTGGACAGACGTTTTTATACCTAATTACATCAAACTATACACCAACCATATTACATACTACTCAATTAAAAGACGTGTAAGTTCCAAAAAATTTACAAAAACGTGTTATATGCAGAGAAAAAATGTATGCAGTTAGTGCATACGTGCATGAAGAGTTATATGCTAATCTAATTATACTACATACATTAATTATTATGGCAGTTTATGCTAATCAATTTAAAACATGTTACACGTATGCTAATGAATATTGGGAACCACACACGTTACAACTTGTAGCTGTTACGTACAGATAAGTGAAAAGCTACGTGCTAATCAAATAGATCACGCATAAATCAATTAGATCTGGAAGAAAGATTTTTATACCTAAAATTTTCCTCATCTATCCCATCTTACCAAATTAAAGATTAAATAAATATATATTTCAACTATTACCTCCTAAGAAGTAATAGATGATCCTAACCATCCGATCTCATTAAATAAACGGTTCATAGTCATTTGGAGGTACCGCAGCAAAGCCCATCTTAAAAGCCATAATAACTCGAGTTTACCAAAGTTTATGTCTTGTACTAGTACTATAGGTTTCTGGGTGCTATGCCAATTTGGTCTGTTTGAAGTATTTCTGGTCAATTTTCCACCATCTACTTGATATGCTGTCTGCTCCAAGTATTATTTTCTTAGTACTCCAGTATTCATGGGCACGGCATTTCAAATAAATAAATAAATAAATATCCATGGGCACGGGACAACGCTCCATAATGACTAGTTTGAATACAAGTTGCAGAATCTGACGCCAAAAAATTCAGATCCAGACAGAAGAGAGCAGAGGGCTCACCAGTGATGTCACCGGTGACTAGGAGAAGGTGAGGCCGGATTGCACGCAGCGCGGTGCCGAGGAGCGCGAGTTCGGCGGCACGCTCAGGGCTGTAGGTGCTGATATGGAGGTCGCTGACCTGCACCACCCAAGCCACGTCACCGTCCATGGGGAAGACCGACCTCGAGACCGACGCGTCGCCGTCGTCGGCCGGTTGCCACGAGGAGCACGGCGTCGGTAGGAGGAAAAGGAAGAGGAGCACGAAGAGAGGGAGCGGGAGATCGGAGGCCATCGCTGCGGCCTGCGGGTGGTGGGGAATCGGCGAGGAGCCGAGTGACGGAAATGCCTGCTGGCTGCTGCTGTGCGCCTGTGCCGGTGCTGCCTTTACAAGGAAGAAGAAGAGTGCTCGGTCCGCAAGGCACGGAAGAACGTGGGCCGTGGGCTGTGGGCTTCGGGCCTAACTCTGGATGAAAGAGGGCGAAAGGTTAGGCCTATCTATGGAAAAAAATCTAAATAAACCCCTCAACTATTTAGAGTGGAATAATTCACCCCAAACTATAAAATCGGATTTTTTTATCCCCTAAATTTTCCAAAACGGTCAAATAACCCCGAGTAGTTTTGGACGGTGATTTTTTACAGTGACCGTGGTTTTTTTTTTTTTTATTTCTTTTCGCTGAATCTTTAAAAATTATAGTAAATCACAGAAAAATCATAAAATGAAAAATCTAATTTTGTTGGACTCCACATGAGTAGGTCTACATAGTGAATATATAATATAGTATTTTTTAGTACAACGCTTTTGCTGTAGCTTTAGATCTATATTTTTCTGTAATTAATTAGAATAATTCATATCTGCAGCTTCTATGGTCCAATTATGGTAAAATTTTTATGGTGGACTAATTATTGTATGCTTGAACTATAATAAAAATTTTAAACTTATTGGATCATGTATAACTTAGTTATAGATAAAGCATAGATTTAACAAGCATAAACCTAAATAAATCTATAACTAAGTTATACATGATCCAATGAGTATGAAATTTTTACTATAGTTCAAGCATATAATAATTAATCCACCATAAAAATTTCACCACAATTGAACCATAGAAGCTGCAGCTATAAATTATTCCAATTAATTACATAAAAACATAGATCTAAAGCTACAGCAAAAACTTTATACTAATGCGTACTATATTATATATTCACTGTTTAGATCTACTCACGTGGAGTCCAACAAAATTAAATTTTCTATTTTATGATTTTTCTGTGATTTACTATAATTTTTTTTCAAAGATTCAACTGAAATAAATAAAAAAGAAAAAGACAAAATCACCGTCCAAAACCGGGGTTATTTGACCGGTTTTAGAAAGTTCAGAGGGTAGAAAATCCGGTTTTATAGTTTGGGGGTGAAATACTCTACACTAAATAGTTGAGGGGGTTATGTAGACTTTTTTCCCTATCTATGGGCCTGTTTGCAGCTTTATTAGTGATTTAGTTTTTTTTTCGGTTCCATCAAGTAGCTTCACCCGTGAAGTTAAAGTTGTTTTCATAAATGTTCGATAAAACAACTTCTCATGAAATATAGTAAATAGAAAGCCAGGAGAAACTAGTATTTTTCAACTCATCTAGTTTCACTTAGAGAACTATGCATATGAGAGGAGCGAAAACAACTTCTAGGCATCTGGTCCCATTTGGTAGAAGAAGTTAAAATAGCTTTTCGAAACCGAGAGAGAAGCTATACCAAACACAGCTCATGAGCTGTTCGGTTGATGGTTTTTGCCGCTGATAAGTCGGTTGATGTTGTTTTGTTATAATAAAAAAATATTATACCATGATTGATAAGTCGGGTTGATAAGTTGAAATTGACAGGACGATATGTCTGGCTGTAGTAGGCCTTTAGGCGGCATTTGGTTTGTCCATCTCTGCCCGAAAGCCCTGAATTCTTCAGAGCCACTCGTCGATGTTTGGTTGCCTAGCCAACGGGCAACGGCCAAGGGGGTTCATCTCTCAGCAGCTATCCATACATTAGTGGCCTGCGCACACAGCCACAATGACTCGCCACTACGAACCTACGACTACCGGGCTCCCCGCACTAGTCTCCTGGTCTTCCCAGGTGGGTGCGTTTTTTTTTGCGACGCCCAGCTGGGTGTGGCTGCGGCCTTTCCTTTTGCCCCTACGCCTTCCCACAGGCTTTGGCCGTATCGTTTTCTTGTGCGGAAAAAGGCATCGGCGTACGTGTTAAATTAAATAGAAGAACATGTACAAGAGAACGGGAAAGACACACTGGGAAACAGAAACTGAGAGAAGCAGCATGTCCAAGAAGCGTCGGATAGGGGATAAGCTGGAGAAGGAGAACGATGTCGAGGACGCCAAGGGCGCGGCCGCAGCTTTTTTTTCTCAAATACAGACAAGGTTTACTTATCATTGTATTAAGTAGAAGAGCTTAAACAGACATACAACGCGCTTCATCGAACGTCAAAGAAAGTCGACTTAACACAGCCGTAGCTGAACCATTCTAGCAAAATATCTTTTGTTGTGATATTACATGAAAGGAAACAACCAAAACATCAGGGAGCCACCAACCATGCAGCGGTTGAACACCTCCGATCAGGACGTGGATCAAAAGTCCAATTAAGTCGTTGAACCGATTGGTGGAGATCAATCTAACACCAGGGAGTGAGGCTGCGCCGCTGCGGGCTGTGGCCTGTGGGGAATCAGCGGGTAGCGGTGGTGGACGGTGGACTGACTGTTGGTGCCGCCGTGCCGGTGCCACTTGCAGAGGAAGAAGAGTGTCCGGGCCTTGGTAGGCAATAGTCGGCCCAGTTTTTGTCTCGGATTGGGCTTGTTGTACGTCGGGCAGGGCCACTTTTGGCTAATTTTCGCGTCAACACGCTCCCTCAACAATCGCAAGCTTCGACCGACGCGTCAGACACAGAGATGGATCGGCGTGAGCGTGAGTGCGTGACATGCTGCGGTCGCAGCTGAGAGCTGACCGATGGAGGATGGATCGGGCAGGAGCAGCCAGAAGAGAAAGCCGAACGACCAATGCGGGTACGCGAGTTGGCTTCCACCTCACGTGATCATTAATGGGAGCAGCAAACATTCAACGCCTTCGAAGCGATAAACAACGCCCGGAACCCGTGGCGACCCAGGCAGCGGTCGACGCCCTCCTCGCCCCGCCCGCGCCCGGCTCGCGCCGTGGAAGCTGGAATCTCTTGGGCCGCGTGGCCACAACCTTTCCATGGACTAATCAAAACACACAGGAGGGCCGCACTTCGATGTCATTTATTTCCCCGGTCTCACACTTAAAACTAACCATATGCGGCAGGTAATACAAACTAGAGATACTGTAGAGGATTAGAGCAAGGTTAATAATATAGCGAGCCGATTTCCTTTTAGCCTTCTCTCAGCCGACCCACGTAATAGTTAGCTTTTTATTATTAATACTTGGCACACATGTCTCTCTTACAAAAATTTATTGGTTCTCATACCTAAACCGACTGTAAGCTTATAGCCGCTCATCCTCTCTCTTCTTTTCTCTCTCCTCCACCTCAACATTTAGCTACCTATTATTATACTTGCTCTTAGACCGCACTACTGGCCGCCTGTATACACAGTTCTCCTGGAGTATACTATGAGTATGCGATTCCTCAATTTGTAACCTAACATAAACCTTGAGTAAACATGAGGCGACGAACGCCCACGTGCGCACAGGGATGGTTATGTCATGACACGCAAATTATAAGTTAAGGTTACTGTGGTTGAAAAAAAGTTTACTATTACTACTTTCAATTGTTCCTTTTGCATTCCACTGGCAATAAGGCCTTGTTTAGTTTCTCCCTAAAAATTTACACCATATCTCATGGAATGTTTAGACATATGCATAGAGTATTAAATATAGACTAAAAAATAACTAATTGCACATATTGCGACTACCTTGCGAGACGAATCTCTTTAAACCTAATTAGTCCATGATTTGACAATAAAACGCTACAGTAATTATGTGCTAACGATGGATTAATTAAGCTTAATAAATTCGTCTCGTGGTTTATTAATATATTCTATAATTTGTTTTTTATTAGTATCCAAACATTTCATGCGACACTCCCACGTGATACTCAATGTGACACCCCGAAACTTTACGGCTGGGACTAAATATGGCCTAAACATGGGGTCGCACTCGCACTTCTGTTCTCTGTTACCTTTACCTGCCGCGTCTTGTCGAAACAGAGCTGTTTGGGAATTGCTATAACAGGCGCCTGATTTCTCCAAAAAGTTCAGGCGACGTGTGATGGTCAAACGGTGATAGCCTTTGTTCTTCCTTTCGTCAGCTCAGCAGCAAAGTAGTAGATCGTGTCCTGAATTCGTCGCCTGAGAGCTCAGGCAACTGAACTCTAGGAGATGTGGAGCTGTTTGTTACCGGCCATCGTATCCGCAAGGCCACGGCCAGCGAAATATCGGCACGGTCACGAGCGCCTAATACTTCTGCTTGGTAGCACGCGCTGCATGTAAACATCACGTCCATATACACAGAGGCCCCGTTGGCTGGAGAATCCGGAAAAATTTATGAGAGGAATCAGTCGTAAATAGTAAATTTCAGTTATGAACAGTGTTTTTTAGCATCAGCCGAACGAGGCCAGAGTACTCCTCGCCGTCCTCCCCTAAATAAAAGTACTTGTCAGGAGTTACCTCCATCAGCAGATCAACTGTTTGTGAGTTGTGACCACTAAAAAGGCGGGACGGGAGCACCCCTATGCAGGCCTGCTTATTTTGACTTCGGATTAAACTAATCCACAATCTCGCAATGAGAATGAGACACAGGGTGGCGATGACCTCATGGCACGAATACATGCGTCGGTGAAACATAGGGCGTGTGCGTCGTGGTTAGTGCAGAGAAAGCGGGTACAAAATGGAGCTGGAGGCAGGGAGCGGAGAACATGAGGGCACCTTTTCCGGCGCCTTGTGCGTTAAGCTGCGCAACCGCACACACATGCATGCTCCGCTCCGCGCCCGGCCTCTCTCGCTCGCTAGTAAACTTGTTGTACTGCTAGTAGTAGCAGTAGTAAGCTTCCAAGAGGAAGATGCCAAGCTCGCCTAGCTATGAATCCCACGACGATGCACGGCTCCGTTTCAGCGACGGAACTGTATTGTATATATGTTCGCTCAAAACAAGGAGCTTGCCTGGCGCCTGCGTGCAGCTAGCATCAGTACAGTCCATACTTGCATTAACAGGTTTCTTTTTTCCCACTGAGAGCTAGCATTAATTGGAATCTGTAATTTGATGTGCGAATG